GGCTTGTGAAAAAATACCTATAACAATTCAAGCTCCTTTTATCAGGTGAGAATTTTAATCATGCTAGTCACGTTTTTAAAGTAAAGGTAAAGGTTTCTCCTGACATGAAGTCTAGTCGTGTCTGACTCTGGGGATTGGTGCTTATCTCCATTTCTAAGCCAAAGAGCCGATGTTGTCCATAGACACCTCCAAGGCCATGTGGCCAGCATGAGTGCATGGAGTGCCGTTATCTTCCTGCAGAAGCGATACCTATTGATCTACTCATATTTGCATGTTTTCGAACTGCTAGATTGGCAGAAGCTAGGGCTAACGGCAGAAGCTCATCCTGCTCCCCAGATTTGAACCGCCAACCTTTCAGTCAGCAAGTTCAACAGCTCAGCTATTTAACCCACGGTGCCACCAGGGCCCCCACTTTTTTTACAGTTCATATAAAACTAGACTTACAATATAGAATTTGTTACCTGGAGAGTCTTAAGTAGTGGTGCTGACTTAGCCGTAGATCCCACACAGTATTTCTTTTTATAGATACATCGTTGGGACGGAGATATGTTGTATTTGCCACAAAGCACTAGTCTGTCTTAACCAATGTATGTATTAGAACAAAAAAAATTCCATGGCATTTGTAGCTGAATCATGATCTCTGAAACATGAAATCTCACCACTGATATGGCCATCCCTTGCTAGCAGTGAGGTCTTTTCATAAAGGCAAAAATATGCAACCATTTGTTTTGCAGTTAGGAGAGCATTGCCATTAAAGATTTCCTGAAACAAACAGATTTCACTGTAGACTACTCCCAATAGGATGCGTGACTGTAGGCTGGCATCCCACTGGTGTCTTACGCATGTGTAAGTTACCCTACTACAGTTGAACTGTGGAATATTATTGTGTTGCCTCTGCAGAATAATGGTGAGATACTTTGTGAACACATAAGGCACTTCAAGCTTGGCAACAAGGAAATGAATATTGCAGAGTCTCTGGTAACCTTTTTGCCTTTTGAGATATATGTACTGTCTTTGTTGAACAGCTGCAGAAAGAGTATCCCTTGGGTTGATCTATTCTAGCTGTTGACAAAAAGTCAGAAGTAAATGTCTATTCTGGCATAAAAGTATGATGGTACTGCACTACTAAACGATATTCTGTGAACAGAGATATCTGCCTGGGCATGTGTACCTACTTGCCTAGGTAAATATCTCAGATCAGAAAAAAACGGTTTAACAACACCATGGGAAAACCAGGTTGGTTACAGTGTGGTGATAGTACTATTTGAATGAGATTTTTACACTAGATGAAATATGGGGGAAGACTTTTTCACCAGCATAGAAGGTTTGTGTAGAGGTTTGTGAGGATTTGTAAAAAGGCAGTATGATGTAATGGGTTGACTGGAAAGTATGTGTCGGCAGCTGAGCATGCCAGGAGCCAGAATTCCGATTGGCTACTGTCTCTAGCTTGCTGCTGAAACAAACTGTTTTAACTGCCACTTTCACCTTGACGAGTGAAGAGAGCGCTGAATGGAAACAGCCAGGAAGGAAATAGCTGCCAACTCTCTGAAGCCTGATCATTTATAAGGCATGAAGCATATCTTAAAGACTGTTTAAAAGGACTGTTTATTCCCTCTGTTCTCTGTAAGAATTTAGAGAGACTGTTATAGATATTGTTGCTCTGTTTGACCTTTTGAACTGAAGTAAAGTTACTGTTACTCATTACACAAATCTGAGTGACACATTATTATACTGCAGGGTATATTTTGGTTCAGAAGCAGTGGTAAAGCTTCTATTTATTTACATCTACAACCTCCAACAAAATCCACCTAACCAAGATCTATTACACTGGCCAACACATATTTTGGTGTCACAAATATTTGACCTGTTGATTCCAAAAGTGGAACCAGTTTTGTCAGCTCTAGTTTTTGATATACAGGACATGTGTCATATACTAGTCTTCATCTGCTCACCCATAAAGATTATGATAACCATATCCAAAAATCTAGAGCTCTTGGGGGGGGGGGCAGTGATGCTGTAGTGCTGTTCCTGAGCTGCTGTGGCCATTACACTACCATCAGCTCTGGATCTGCCATGGCCATCTTGGTGCCTTGGAACCAGAGGAGAGGAGTGTGCCACTGCACCATCAGAGCTGTAGAAGGAGCTGGAACTAGAGCGCAAGCACATACATTATTGTAAACAAAAAAGAAAAAAAGAAAAAAAAGGCTTTCCTGAAAATTATTGGGCAAAACAAAAATTGCACCTGCTACCAAATTTGCTGAATGTTTTTAATTTACAGTTTTGAAAATAACATTTTGCTTGGTTTAAGTAATTTTTGAAGGAGTTCTTCATATTGTCAGTAATTTTTAATGGACAAGGAATAGTCCAGAAAACGTCACAACCAATTTCTCAGCATGCCCACAGCTTTTTTAAAAAGTAAGCAATCCATAGTTCCACTATAGCATGGCACTTAAAAACATGTAAGTGTTCAAATTCAACTTGTCATCAAGTAGCGTTAAATGGACTGCTGTTCAGAGGAGATAAACTGTTAATTCTTTACATGCTGTAGTAGCTTTCTGGGTTGTGGCCCAGAAACAATACTGTCACATATGGAGGTTACATTCGCCTTTGGCCAGATGGAAAGGAGGCAAAATTTCATTATCACATCATAGAAGTGGAGGTGGTATCAAGGGGCATTTCTGCAAAGATCGAAATGATTTAATTTTGTAATTAAGAATCTTAGGGACAGTTTAATTTGTGAGTTTGTTCTGTGTGCTGTTAGTTGTATAACCTACTCATGAATTGCAGTTACCAGGATTAACTTAGAAGGAAATACATGGCAGAGAAATATGTTTGTCTAGTCTCAGTGTTCGGCTCAGTGTAAGGGCAAGATGGATGGATGGCATCCTTGAAGTGACTGGACTGACCTTGAAGGAGCTGGGGGTGGTGCCAGCCGACAGGGAGCTCTGGCGTGGGCTGGTCCATGAGGTCACGAAGAGTCGGAGACGACTGAACGAATGAACAACAACAAGTCTCAGTGTTATGTTAGCGCTAACCAGTTATATGTTCATAGCTGAAGCAGACAAGACTAAGTGGGTGGATGTTATATAATAATAATAATAATAATGTCAGAATAATAATGTCATAATAATAATAATAATAATAATAATAATAACAACAACAACAACAACAATAATAATAATGCTTCAAAACTCTGTCAGTCTGAATTCGGAAGTCCAACTGGAAAAGCTGACAACGATACGAGGATTTAAAGATCGAACTGGAAAGACTGGCATAAGCCAGTAAAGGTGGTCCCAGTGGTGATCGGCACACCGGATGTAGTGCCTAAAGACCTTGGCCTGCACTTAAACACAATCTGCGCTGACAATATTACCACCTGTCAGCTGCAAAAGGCCACCTACTAGGATCTGCATGCATTATTCGCTGATACATCACACAGTCCCAAGGGGAACTCAGGACAGATTCCAACATACAAAAAGGCAAACATTCAGTGCCTCAATAAAACAAACAAGTACTGACAGAATAATTCCGAATAACCCCACATATGAAAACAACATTAGAACCTAACATCAATCAGTTAAACAAAACATAATCAAACAAAAATTATATAGTGACTACATATAGGGTTATGTTAGCTCTAGTATGTCTTTCAGTTGCTGGGGAACATGAAAGTAACGATACAATTGTTCTCATGTCCTGCTTATAGGCCTTTCCCTTGGAGGGCTTCTGTGCAAACAGAAGGTGGACTAGATAGGCGTTTAGTCTAATCCACTGAGACTCTTTTACTTCTTCAAAGATTACATAAACTCTGTTTGTTCCTTAGCTGCTGTTCCTATTTGGGGATAAAGGGAAACAGATATTGCCTTTAAAGTACAAACCTGTCAGGAAGTATTAAGAGTGAATCAAGAGATTTCTGTATTTTGTAATAGCTGCTGGCCTTTTTTGTTACGACAGCAGCATATTTACCATTACACAGGGTAGAAGTACAAGTTGCTCAGTATACAGGAAGCTGTGTTTTTTGGTCTGAGTAGAAAAGCATAGAATTTAGGGCTTTCACACTATGATGTAAAGGAAAAACAAATGATCTTAGTTTCTCCATCTCTTTCTGGTTTCAGATAAATGGCTTCTTCCTGATTTCTGATATCTCTTAACTTGTTTGTTCTTCCAGTCATTCTCTATATATTATTGAAAGCTCCTGGCTCTTTAATAGCATTGCTTTAAAGAACGAAAGCACAGCAGAGTCTCAATTATCCAATATAAACAGGCCGGCAGAACATTGGATAAGTGAAATGTTATGTAGTAATTACTGTATTTACGAATGTAGCACTAAAACATCTCAATGTATTGAAACCAGGGCCGTAGCCAGAAAAATTTTTTGGGGAAGGTTGACAATTTGGGGGGGGGGGGGGTTGAAAATTTTGGGGAGGGTTGAAAATTTGGGGGGGGGTGGAGTTGAAACTTGCCTCCTAGCTCACGCTGAAGCCAAGAGCACAGCAGGGGGCAGAGCAGCCTTCAATAGCCTGCAGCTCCACCCCTGTCAACCACCTCCACCAAGTCAGTATTTGCCTGAGATAGTGCTAGCAGTTCTGGAGGGACTCTTAATTTTTTGCATCTCATAGACTTAGCATGGGTTAACCAGTTAAAATTCATGAGTAAACCAGTTTTTTTAAAAAAAATCTGAAACATTTCAGGGGGGGTTTGAACCCCTAAAACCACCCCCTCGCTACAGGCCTGATTGAAACAACTGTGGATCGGGGCAGGAGGCAGACAGTGTTGGATAATACAGAACGTTGGATGAGCGAATGTTGGATTATCGAGACTCTACTGTACTAGTCTTAAATAAATAAGGGACCCTTACTCATTTTTCAGTTTAGTTCATTTTTCTTACTTTACAGTCTTACTTCTTATGATTACTTTTATTGGGAGATTGTAAAAATGTTTTGAAAGATGCTGAAATCAAAGTCTTTCAGGGTTAATTTGTGGGGTTTTTTTAATTCTAGGTGAACTTGATGCAGAACATGCTCAAAAGGTTCTGGATATGGAGCAAACTCAACAAATGAAGTTGAAAGAGCGGCAGAAATTCTTTGAAGAAGCTTTTCAGCAGGACATGGAACAGTACCTCTCAACAGGCTATCTGCAAATAGCTGAAAGACGAGGTGAATGCTGCAATCTTTCAGAGTTCCTTAGGTGTATAACTCTCATCTAGTTCATGGGTGCAAACTACAGTGGTTTCTTGAACTAGTTTCCATGATATTATTCTTTACATCTGTATCCTACGCTTCTGGAAGGTCAATGGCAATATTCCCTGGCATTCATTCTCCTTTCCATGAATTAGCAGATGGAATCCAGTTTAGCTGAATGTGCTCCAAGATATAGGGCTGTCCTATCACAGCTGTGGGAACAGCATGGCAACAGTTGAAGTGGCACATCTGGGAACAGAATGGCAGCAGAGGGCAGACAAGTGCATTCACATTTTGCTCTTGCATCCCATGCCAACAGGGAAGCAGAAACTGCATTTTTGGATAAGTCATTTTCTTCCAGATTGGTAAATTAGATGAGAAGTGGGAATGCACTCTTGTCTTGAAACTTGCAGTGTAGAAAATAGTTTATTATCATAGTATTACACCAGCAGCTATCAAGATACCGGATGGTTGCAGGTTGCACTGTGACATAAGTTTGACTTTTTAGAGGCTTCCCCTCCTGGATATTCTATTGAACTTTCACAGTCCAAGTGGCTAGGTCCCAGTTGCTTCGTTGTCCAAACGTATCTCCCTTTATGATCCATTTCAATTAAAATCTTCTGGGGAGGCCCTGCTCTCAGTCCTGCCCCCATCACAGGCACAGTTGGTGGGGATGAGAGACAGGGCCTTCTCGGTGGTGGCCTCATGGCTGTGGAACTCCCTCTTAAGCTTCAGGAAAAAGCTTAACACCTGGCTATTTAAGCAGGCCTTTGAGGATTAATATGACCCAAAAGTATGTCAGAATCTGTATAAGAACAACAAAGCAATTGGTTTAATTGCTAGACTTTAGATACATTTGAAATGTTTGAAAGACTATTTAATTGATATGTATTTTTTTACAGTTTTATAATATTGTGTTTTATGTTATTGTCTGAATCTGGCATTGAATTATTGCCATAGTTTGTAAGCCGCCCTGAGTTCGCTTCCGGCCGTGAGAAGGACAAGGTATAAGTACTGTAAATAAATGGAAGGACTTCTTATACATATAGATTGGAATTTTGTGATCCTTTTATGCAGGAATAGTAGAGAGCCAGCAGTTTTGGATCTGGATATTCATTTCTTCTAATCACAATTATAGTCCTATCAATATGCCCCACGGTTGATGGAGCTTTAAGAAAGAAAAATATTACATAAAATTACAGATTTGGGTATGAAGTTGAACTTTTACTGTAAATCCTGATCTTAATTTGTTACATACTGTTAGAATGTAATTATTTGGAAAATAGCTTTCTGAAAACTTAAAGGCTACTTATTCATAGAAAAGATAGTACTGTCTTCTATGTTTTTCATTTGTATGAACTATTTAGCAACGATGAATGTGTCCAGAAATCAGCTAGGTGGTGGCATATATGAGTAAAATCTTGCTATTTTCTGATTTCAGAGCCAATAGGAAGCATGTCTTCTATGGAAGTGAATGTTGACATGTTGGAACAAATGGATCTCGTGGATATGTCTGACCAAGAAGCCTTAGATGTATTTCTCAATTCAGGAGGAGAGGACAGCGCTATGCAATCTCCAATGTTAGGTAGGAAAATTAGCTGTGGCATTTCTAATTGGACTGATGCAGTTAAAAACAGTGATTGCCTAAAAACAGGGGAAACTGATTTAAAATCAAGGTAATTTAAATCACGAACGGTTTGGTAGGAACTTACCTGAGCCTGCCCAAGACCAATTGAGAGAACAGTCGATTGCTGAAAATACTACCATGTGGCTTTTTTTTTTGTCAGGAGCGACTTGAGAAACTGCAAGTCGCTTCTGGTGTGAGAGAATTGGCCATCTACAAGGACCTTGCTCAGGGGACGCCCACGGATGCCTTTTCTTTTTCTGAAAAAAGCCTTTGGGTTTTTATTATATATTTATGCAATTTATGTTAAACCGGCTATGGAGACTGTACTGGTTTTCTCTTCAGTTGTCATTGAACTGTTCAAATGTGTATTGTCGAAGGCTTTCATGGCTGGAATCACTAGGTTCTTGTGGGTTTTTTCGGGCTATAGAGCCATGTTCTAGAGGCATTTCTCCTGACGTTTCGCCTGCATCTATGGCAAGCATCCTCAGAGGTTGAGAAGGTCTGTTGGAAGTAGGAAAAATGGGTTTATATATCTGTGGAATGGCTGGGGTGGGGCAAAGAGCTCTTCCCTGCTGCAGTTAGGTGTGAATGTTTAGCTGATCACCTTCATTAGCATTTGAAGGCCTGTCTGAGTCTGGGAAAATCTGTTGCTGGGAGGTGTTAATCTGTGCCTGTTCAAATGTGTATGATTCTTCTCTTCAGGTGTCACAGAACTGTTCAAATGTGTATGATTCTTAACCATGTTGCTATTGTTGTGTTTTCATTTCCAACTTACAGCACCCCTAAGGCAAATTATCACAGTTTTCTTATCAAGATTTGTTCAGAGGGGTTTGGTCCTTGCCTTCATCTGAAACCTAAGTGTGTGACTTGCCCAGAGTCCTGGTCAAGCAGGGATTTGAACCTTGGTTTTCAGAGTTGTTGTCTAATACTCAAATCACTACACCATAGAGTTACCTTTTGAACCATTCACATATAAAAGCAGTTCACTCAAATTCACCAGATGCAGTTCACCACAGCATCTAGGTTTTCATAAGAATGTGTCATTTACAATCAGTTGAACTTTACTTGGCTGATAATGGCACTTTGTGACGAAAGCTGACCCATATTTTCTGTTGCAGACAATTGTCCAGTGGGATTTTGTCCCTTAACATACAATATGTCAAAATATAGCCTTAAATCTCAGCAACACTTTCCAGTTGCCATCTCTCTGTCCACACACACACACCTTTTGAGGAGGGTGAAACTGTGTCCCCCATCATGAGAAAATTCCAGCTCACTCTTCTGCCCTTGAACAAAATAGCAATAAAAGTACCTGATTGCTTCTATTGGATACTATGCAATGGGCAGATAGGTTAAGCATACTTTCTTACAGCTGAGTCACGACCTTTACACATTGCTAATAGTCTAGAACAGCAAGAAGCCAAGGAAATTCAGCGGGGCATGCTGCATACTTCATGATGACACATTCAATTTTACCTCGTGTTGCACTCTGAGAAACCGAACACCATTTCTAGAGTGTATATATATTCAAAAGCTTTATTGCTTTTTCTCAGCTGTTTAATACAAAATACACAAGGGAAGTAATAGATTGCTGCTTTTTTCTGATAACATGGTTTTTCTTAATAAAATGGTAACATGTAAATTCATAACATAGTACACTAGTCAGCTTCATCCTTTTCTCCCATTACTTTGAAGGGTCAGACTCCAGCAACTGTCAAAATGAAATCAGCCTGAAAGTTCCCCCTCGGTCAGAGTTGAAGGCGAATTTCTCTTCTTTGCCATCCACCTGGACTGATTCTGCCGCCCAAGATACCAGCGAAGGAGAGTCGCCTGTGATCCAGTCAGATGAGGAAGATGTGCAAGTGGACACTGCTCTCGTTGCTGTAAATACAGAAATCAAAGGTGCTTCTGACAATAGTGATGAGAGTGATTCGCAAGTGAATTGAGTGTTATGACAGTGCTCTATTAAAAATTAGGACCCTGGAATGTATGAGTAAAGGAATGATTCAGTTTGTCTGTTCTCACTACGATGTTCTATCATGAAAGAGATTACCTTATACAAAATTTGAGTTGGACAGTCTTGTGAAATTCTTTATATATATATATATAAACTTGAAGCACACCACTAGCAATAAAATATTGGCTTTTGAACATTACGTTTTGTATTCTAGGGGGTTATCCAAAGAGTCACGAAAGGGTTTATTTTGAAACAGAAACATGATCCAAAAGCCATGTCTGTTTTTTGTAGTCGCAATGTGCATGTCTTAAATGTTGTGGCTAAAGTCTGAAAATATCTGCTGCTTATACACTGCCTCCAATGAATGCTTTTACTACTTCAGTGTTAGATGCAAATCCCAGTGCAAAAAAAAGCAATTGTATTGGCCTCTACTTCCTTTCTGATTTAACATGTTTTACTCGCCTAAAAGAAAACGGGCTGTACTGGGAGATAAATTAGTGATACCTGATATTCTCAGTATATTGGAGAGTTGTCCATGTTGCTGAACATGTCTTTTCTTCTGGCTTCATATCAATAACCATCTTACTGTTATTGCTTGTATCATTTTTAACATATTGACCTCAACCATATGAGCTGCCAAAAGGCTGCAAAGTTCTATCTTTCCCGGCAGTGGTCTAACTGCTGATATACAGCACTGTCCGGTAGATTTTGTGTTGTCTATCATGAACTTTTGAACTTGGGACTTTCTACACAGGCAGCTATTCTCAAAACAGGGAACTTTATTTTCATTAAGTATGTTTTTAGATGAACCTTTTGGTCTCAAAATGAGGGAACAGGAAGAGTGGGAGCAGAGGAGATAGTGGAAGTTTCTTGCCATTTATAATTTACCACAGAATCAATGGACAAAATCATGCATTGGAGCATAACATCTCCATGCCCCCAGAAGGTAGTTTTCAATCTATTGTCAAAGGCTTTCATGGCTGGAATCACTGGGTTATTGTAGGTTTATCGGGCTGTATGGCCATGTTCTAGAAGCATTCTCTCCTGACATTTTGCAGAGGATGCCTGCCACAGACGCAGGCAAAACATCAGAACAGAATGCTTCTAGAACATGACCATACAGCCCAATAAACCTACAACTCCTTTTCAGTCTAGTTTTCTGCTTTTATGCAGAAAAACAGAGTCACTCGCTTGGATGTTCACTTCTTTCCTGAAGACCCAAGAGAATTACTCCCTTTGCCGACCCACAGTTTTGGAATGGTTAGCTGGGCATTGCATGGTCATTTCCCAGCCAGGCAGCCTCCCTCTATGCTTGAAAACTGCCTTGGGTTGTGAGGTGTTAGCCAATAATGCCTTGCACAGTGACCCCCGAAAGACACAAATGTGTGTAACTCAGAATATCACTATAAAAGGATTTAGCCAATGTCTGAAGCCCACCTCCACAGGCGGGACCCTACAGATATGGGTGTACTGTAACTCAAATTAGTTGGCTCAGGCCAATGGGGTTGGGTAGGAAATACAATATAGCAAAATACATAGGGGCAGATGGTCCCATTGCTGCTATAAGTGGCAAATTAATTTTCTAATTATCAATGAAAGCTAGCGATGACTACTCTGCTTTACACCTTTCCTAACCTACTAGAAGGGGCGTAATTTAGTGATAGGTACTTTACTTCTTTTTCAGAAGAAAGACAAAATGTCCAAAAAGTGTGTTTTTATTAAACCTTGTATTACAAACCTGAAAAGTAAACAAAAACTGGCAATAAACATGTTTCTTTCCTTACAAGGAGAAAAGAGTAGAGCAGCGCTAATAAATTAAATGTCAAACTGTAAGCCATAGTCAGAAGTTTACTGTCAAGAAGGATAACGTACACAGCAAGGCCATAAAAACCGGACAACCACATTGGAAAACACTCGACTCTGTATGTTATTGTTAAATATTCCAAAACAATTCAGTCTTCTGCCACAACCAACAATATGTATTTTATAAGACTCTCCTGACAGTCACTCACCACTGGCAAGCTCAGTGCAATATGGGTAGCTCTACGGTACTGTTGAATTCAATTATGAAACAAGAGTTTGTGAAAACATTTTCCCTTTTTTATTCCACACGTACTGTACACACAACTGGAAAAGGGCAACAACTACTCCATTATTATTTTGTTGTTGTTCAGTGATGTAAGCAGCACTTATAAATGTTACAAGAAAAACCCTGTAAGCATCCAAATCCAACCGATGAAGAAAGTGAAACGTAAGGCTATTCTTCATCTTGTCTCTTTGCCACCCTTCCCCACCCTCCCAAGAAAAGGCTCAAGTATTTAAAACAATTTACAGGCTTATGTACAAAAGGTATGATTTCTTTTTTTGTTACACGTGAAGAAGGAAAAAAAATAATATATAGACAAGATGAGAGCAAATGCATTTTTCACATTCAAAAAGAAGTACGCAAAATCTGCTAGTGGCTCTAAATGATCATATAACAAAACACAAATTAATGCTGACTGTGAAAAGGTATGGAAAAAAACAGCAGTGGAATGGAAATGGAATGTTAAAGATTGCACGTCTATGACAAGAAGCACTTATGGCTTCAATCATTTTTTTAAAAGGATGCTATTGAAGGGTTTTTGATAAAAGTAGCCAACAGCACCAAAAAATAACAGAATGGATTTCCTAATGAAATCAGGCACAGTTTTCGCTCGCATGACTCCTCAAGGCAGGCAGTCTTTTTTTTCTTATTTTTCTCCTCCCCCTCCTCCTCCTCCTCCTCGAACAGATGCATAGTGAAGTGCTGGTAACAGAGAACATTTTCTCCAAATCTCCCATTTTGCCTAGGGTTAGAAAACTAAGTCCATCTTCAGCTGCCATAACCTCTCAAAGAAAAAAAAAGTGTATTCTCCAATTTAAAAAGGTACAAAACTCATCCTGCCTGTTAAAGAATACAAGCCAAAAGTATAGCAATTTCTTTCAAGTTTTGTCGCCTATCCCTTTTCTCTCTATAGAAAAAAAAAATCTGCGGACATGACTGGAGAACAAATTATAAAACACACCAAAATTCAACCTATCAACAAAAAGGGGGAGGGGAGGTGTTAAAAGCCTTTTCAGTGTTACTGAAAAAAGGCTTTTTTAAATTTTCAGGCAGAGGGACAAAATACAAATTAATTTTGTCAACCTCTTGCTGCTTTTAAAACAGTGAACGCACAGCAGTTTTTAAAAAAACCTGCTGCATCTAACTATCCTAAGTAAAAAATAAAAAATAAAATAAAATTCAACAGTTTAATGCTAAAACAAAATTAGTTCTCTAAAACCAGAAGAAAATCTTCTTTAGAGCTAGTGCAAAGACAGCTTGTATTCTACAGCAAATACTCCAAACTATGATATAATAATTACAAAAAATATATATAAAATTGACAAAAATGAGAGTGTGTTGGCATTTTTATGATTAACTTGAAGCACTTTTGGATGAACCGGAGGATGAAAGTCTTGATGACGGCACCTCAACTGTTGCTCTCTTCCGTGGTCCTCTTTTTGGTGTAGCCTTGCTGATACAGTTCTCAATGGTGCCATTTTTGCCAGATACCTTTCCACAGATTTGATTGACTACATCGATTATTTGCTCCTGTTTGAGAGGAAGAAATAATAGAAGAATTAGTACTCTTCCCCACTCTTCAAACTATAGCAATTCAGGACAGAATAGTGGGAATCAAAGTACAGTGTTCCCTCACTTATCGCGGGTATTCTGTTCCAGGACCACCTGCAGTAAGTGAAAATCTGCGAAGTAGGGACGCTCCACCCACTCGGCAGTGGACTCCTCCACCTCACTGCCTTGGAAGCCCCTTGGGCTCCATTGATAGCACTGTCAGGGGCTTCGGAGACAGGGAGCAGCAGAGGCGGCGAGGCGGAGGACGCCACCGCTGAGTGGGTGGAGCATCCCTACTTTGCAGCAGCCTCCTCCTCCTCACCGCTTCCGTTGCTACCAGCCTTGGAGGCCCCTTGGGCACCATTGATTTTCAGAGACTAAAACACATTAGTTAAGGTAAAAGGACAACAGATTAAAATCAACTAAATAGTTTTAGCCTGATTCAATACTATATACATGTGTGAATTGGTATAGTCTCAACTGTTTTGTTAAACAGCCACGCATTTACTAGGTGCAACTAGGTAGCAACACTGATGCCATCAGAGACTTTTAGGGGTGGATATTTCATAAACAGGATAACATTGCCACAGTAAAGAAAGGATGCATTTTTGTCCACCATGTTTAAAACAGGCACAAAGAGAGAAAAGCTTTTGTTTCTATTGTTGATTGACTGCAGTTTAGCACTGAATCCAAGCTACAACACACCACAATCGGCCCTTCACGTGTGGATTTGACTTCTGTAGATTTGGATTGTTTAGGGATTTGATTACATGTCTTTCTAGCAATCTCTTGGTCCTTCAGTTTTACACTATGGTCAACTTCTGCCAGAAAATCACACATCTGCACTTAATGTGTAGTTTCTCCGGAACAGTTCCGTGGCATCCAAATAACACACAGAGCTGGGGTAATGTGGGGCAAGGCTGCCTTGACCCACATTAACCAAATTTTTGGGAATCTGGCCTAGATTGAGAAACCATAACTTTGGGCCTATGTTATCAGTTGAGACAGTCCAGGGACGTGAGATGCCTCCCATTCTCATGATGGTCTCCAGGCACATGTGTCCTGCTGGTCAGTGACATTGGACGGGACAATAGGATGATCATGGAAGGAAGGGGAAGGTGTGATTCCTCCCCCTCCCCCCCATCCAATGACACTGTAGGGGATGGCTGACTGACAGGACCCATACCACATGCAAAAGCAGGAGGGAACAGTAAGGGTTGGCTTTCCAGCAGCACCAAAAAGGGTTCGATGCTGCTAATGATGAGATCCTAAATCAACCTCATAGCTACATAGCACTGCATTGTGCCTTGGTGGCAGGAGCATCTAGCCCCACTTGAGTGCATTCACAGAACAAATGAAATTTTCCAATTCTATACTATACACAGCCTTTGTGATT